CATGATTTTTTCAAAACGAATTTCATTGTTCACGACAATACAAAAAAATTCCGTCATAACTATTATCAAAATAAAAAATTAATGACAATCTTTCAATCCTTTGAATCCGATATTAATATTGGCTTTTTTTCCCTGTGAAACATGGCTAGTTTGTCTTCAAATAAACAATAACCACCACCATCAAGACCAAACAGACAAAAGCGTATTTGGTCATGGACTTCAAAAGAACCAGTAAAACTTTGATCGGTCTTAAGTGAAGCCGGTAAAGAATGTGGTGCTGTTTTGCTGATGGTTGCTCTACTGGAAATCCAATAAACCTAATTAATATATTAATATCAATATTATCCGAACGGAAACCCCCTTTCTTAACGCTAATACTAAAATCGTGAAACGTATTTCTAACGTTTTTAACCCAAAAATAATTTTTATATTAAATAATATGGTATGTTAATATTATATTCGTTCATTATGTATTTTTATTCACAAGGCCTTCTTTTATGTGTCTCGCGCATCCTTTGTGATAAGGTTTGATCTGTAATACTATTACCGCCAATATTGTTGTTTCTTTTTACTTTTAAACCATTGACCGGTTTTAGTGGCTGTATCCGTTGATTATCCGGGCATTTGAGCACCTGGTCAATCATATTACTATTAATATTAATATTACTAATACTTAATTACTTACTATACGGTATAATTTTCCGTATAATGATGTGCTCATATTAATATTATATAAATACTATTTATTAAGTTTGAATTTCACGCGGGTGAATTTAGATTCACAAATTATTTTTAATAGACAAAAAGTTTTTGTTGTTAATAATAATAATAATAAATAATCCCAAGCTTAATTAATTCTAACTGTTTTGATAATCCCAGTTATTTAATTGTAGACAACCTACTTTTAGATAAGAATTCAATTTATTTTGAAGCGCCGCCTTTATATAATGACCAATTATATGACCACGTTCATTTCAGTTAAATCTGACATCAAAATAAATTTGTTTTATCCATCAAACCTTAACATATATAAAAAATTCAAAACGTAGTAGTTTTTAGAGAATGGGAAAAAAATATATTTCAACATCTTCAGATCATCAAAAATAATAAAAATTCTTATATTTTAATTAATAAGGTTATAAGAAATCTAATAAACATGAAATCATGTATATATAATCTTCGGAACCTAAACTACATTCTAATATACAATTTATTATGTACATTTTTGTTTAATTAACGCACTTTTGGCAGTCAATACTTTTACCTAAGCAGTATATAATTCATCATAATATATCAACCCATTCGCCCACAATGGCAACAGATTTACTATCGCCATTCATGATCCTTTCATCTCTTAATGTTCTACCAATACATATCCAAGGATCTTTTGAACCGCCCCATTTCAATAATTCTTCTTTGAATCTCTCACCAGCTTCTCTACTTAATGGATCCTTTTCAAACAAATCTTTCCAAATCTTGCCAGCTAAAGTTCTACAAAAAAGATAACTATAATATCCTGCACCATATCCAAATAAATGAAAAAATTGTGTTTGCCAAGCAGTTCCAGGAACTGAAGGGAATAATCCAACTGTATCTTGTAAATTTGCTAAAATTGATGTAGTGTCAAAATTCGGCGATGATTCTCTAGAAACAATAGATGAATGATATAATTGATCCAGTAAAGACATTACAATTTGTGATTGAGTTTCTATTGCAGTAAATTGTAATCGTTCTTTAGAATAATGTTGTATTAACTCTAGAGGTAATGGTTCTTTGGTTTCATAATGTTTTGCAAACAATGATAAAACACTTGGGGAATAAACAAAATGTTCCATCAAAATTGATGGTAATTCTACAAAGTCTGTTGGACATCGAGTTCCTAAAAAAAAAAATTTTTTTTTTAGTAAAGTCATTAACAAAAAAATCAAAACATAAACAAATCTTACCAGAAACATTATGAAAATCAGTACGACCAATCATTGCTAAAATAATTCAAAAAAAAATCAATATGAAGTTTCAAAAAAACTTTCATGTATGTACGTATGTATGTATGTATTTATGTATGTATATCTATATATATAGTTAATTTGAAACCTACAATGCATTGCATGACCCATCTCATGGAAAAGTGTTTCAACTTCAATCAAATTTAATAAAGTAGGGACATTTTGATCTTTTGATTTTGCAAAATCACATGTTAGTACCACTATTGGTAGTTGGTATCTACCAGGTCTACCATTTACAATAGCCCCTGGATCAGAAGTTGCTAAATCATCTAGTTCGGCCGGATCATATCCTGATGGAAGATCGCCCAATGCATCATCATCATCAACTCTTCGGGAGCACCTTACAGTGTAATGCGCTGCAGTTTGTAATTTACCAAAACGATTAAACAAATCGCAATAAATAGTTCCAACTTTACCCTCCTTTTCATCAATGACATCAAATTTATATATATCTTCACACCAAGCTTCACCGGGTAAAATTTCAGATGCTTCAAAAGAAATACCATACAATCTTGAAAATAGGCATGATAAACCTTCAATTACAGACTCAACTGAAAAATATGAAGAAATTGGGGGTAATTGTTGTGTTTGAGACGAAGATTTGATTTTTTCTGTGTAAAAATCACGATCCCATGCATAAACAATTGGAAGTTCTTTATCTTTAGTAAATTGTTGTTTTGCTTCTCTAAGAGTTTGTAATTCAGATAATGCCTTTTGTTTATGATGGTCAGCAAACGAACGTAAAAATGTTTGCACATATTCTATTATATCGGTTAATTGATCAATTAATTAAATTAAAACAATTAACAATGTAATTTAAACAAAATTTTTTTAAAAAGTACCTGGTTTTTTCAACATTTTATCAGAAATAAAAACATCACCGTAGCTCTTCATGCCAATTAATTTGGCTAATTCAGCTCTTGTTTTTAATAAATCTTCTAATAGTTGAATTTGTTCTTTACTTGCAGAATTGATAGTAGTGTACATTTGTTTTCTAATCTCTTCATCTTTAATATATTTCAATACGATTTGTGCGGACCATTGACTAATATATAGGAACATATCATTGTTTTTTCTTCTGACTAAATCTTTGTGGTAACTGAGTGGCAATCCATCTAATTTAGATTCATCTATTTTAATTCCTCGAAAAAATACTCGTAGAGGAGGGTGAATGAATTGTTGCCCAAGCGTAATAATCTTATTAGATAGTTGAACATATTGTTCACGATCAGATGATGGTAGGTTTACTCCAGATTTTTCAAAATCACGTAAAAATATTTTTGCAACTTGAAGCTCTTCTGGTGAAAATTTTGCTGTAATATCAGGAGTAGAAAGTACTTGATTTAATACCTGGATATGCAACATTAGATATGAAATTGTGTTTGGGATAATGCTTAAATTGTAAGGGATTTTATAATAAAGGAAAAGAAAAGAAATACATAATTGCAGACTCACACAATTCGTAATATATTCAAATATTGAAATGACACGTTGTTGATTATGTTAATCAATAAATTTTTTTAAAATAAATTTTATTATTTACCTTATATAAATCAGTATTTGTATTTAAAGAATTCATGTAAAAACATAATTCTTCATATACATCATTAGCAGCATTAACAAAATTTTGATCAGGATGAGAATTTCTTACAAATTCAGCAGTATCTATTACTGAACAAAGTAAATCTGACAATCTATCTAAATTTTTTACAACTTTTCTTAATTCGACGACATCTGTAGTTGCATTTGAGATACGTTGAACTAAGAATCCTACTCTTTTTAAAACTTTGTTTGCTTCAGTTTTAAAGCCTTGTGGAGTTGATAATGCAGGATTTCTAAATAAACCAGTAGGTGTTTTTACTGAAGGAGCATTGTTATGGTGTAGTCTGACGCGTTGAAATTGATTGAAGATTTTTGGTATATGAGCACGATACAATTTTGAGAAAATCATATTAATTTTGTCAAGTAAAAAAAAAGATTATCATGAGTTATCGAAAAAATTTCACAGGCGCAGCATATTATACTTCATGTGATCCTGGTTTAGTTCTTCGCGAAATTAGACTTTCCGTAAATCGGACGTGGCGTTACACGGACCTGGCTAGAATAAATTATCATTTTTTTTCGATTATGTCAAATAATGTAAAGGATGCATTGTCCTATTTTGACAAGTCAAAGTATCTATTGCCGAAAAATCCATCAATTTTTAGACATTAAGATTTTAAAGCTATTGATGGACCTAGGTCACCCAACTCTAATTCAAGGCTTTGACACTTTCCTACCTTTTGGTTATCACTTGGGTATTCTAAAAATCCGACCTCATCACAATTACATCGCCTACTGTACAAAAAGGTCTTTTGGAGTCTCATCCATCACTTACAACAATATCTTTCTTCAACCGTTGCCGATTCATCAACCACTGCTTATTATAACATCATCATCAAATCCATCATCTTTAAATACTGTTAGTTCTCAAACTTACACTAAAAAATAAATAATTTATGAGGAGAAAGTAAAAAAAGGAGTATTGCTTGAAAGTATTTCTTTAAATGAAACCCACCAGAAGTTCAAGATGCTCAAAATCTTAATGATGAATCTAACTCATTATTTTTAATGCAATGCTTAGAATACAAAAACACAATAACTCAAACATTAGTAAACATTTGGATGAAATTGATAGGTATTTAGATAAGACAATAAATATTAATGTAATCAAATGGTGGAATGTGTATTTAAAAACAGAAAATAGTAAGAGTATTCTTTAATGGTAACGCAAAATAATTTTTTGATCACGATCTTGCATCCTAATTTGATGATTAGCAAAATAAAAATGGTCAATCCTTCTTTTCTTTGATACTTTTATTATAACTACTCTAAATTTTCTACACAGTGGTTACATTCATAGCACTTAATGTTGGTGGTGTATTCTTTAACACTACAAAAAAAACGCTTTTGAAACATGGTGATGGATATTTTTCGAGTCTTTTTAATAATGCAATGGAAAGAGTATATAATGAACGAAACAATATTTTCATTGATAGAAATGGTAAATTGTTTGAATATCTAAGAAATGATAAACTGCTGAAAAGAATACATGACGACAAGGAATTACTGGAAGATTTATTAACGGAAGCAGAATTCTTTGGAATCAATAAACTTGTCAACGATATCAAATCTCTAATCGATCCAGGAATTGAAAAGATACGTCTTTGGCAACTCGAATAGTATTTGAGGAAAGATTATCATGTGGTTACAACTGGTATTGAATCTCTTACTTATTATCGATGCCCTCATGGTCATGATCCTGAACGAATTGGTGAAGGTCGTTATTCTAGTTCTAATTGTAGACATACATCTGTTGAATTAGTAGAAGATAATGTTTATTTTATTTTAAGTAACAACTAATAGTAATATTCCCATGAGAAAAGGAATAGATATTGATATTGATAAGAGAAAAGTGTTATCTCGACTTAAATGAATATTTTTTTCTTCTTTTTTTTATAATGATAATTTAAATAAAAACGAAATTTTGATTGGATGATCAACAAATCGCGTTTGTTTATTTTGTCCCAATTTTTTTTTTCTTCATTATTATAGAATGCCTTATATAAAAAACTCTACGAATGATCAAACAGTTGTAACGAAAAATGTGCCTGTAAAAAATGGTCGTATTGAAAAGGTAAGAAGGCTATATACTGAAAATATCATTATTACCTATTTGCGAAAATGATGATATTAATCAACAATAATAACTTTATCAATACAAAATCCCATTAATAAGAATAAACAACTTTCAGAAAAGAATACTCACAAGGCACAGAATAATAAAAAATTTACAAATGATTTTAATAGAACTCATAGACAAACCAATAAAATCAAAACCTTTATACAATTTTATTTACATGGTTAATATTGTCGAATATTTATCTACAGTAAAATTAACATTAATCATTTTTCCATTATTATTATGACTGATTAGACTATTTATTTAATAAACAATAAACTGACGTGATATTGTGTTTTTACATTTTGTAAATTTCGCTTTTAACAAGTAAGCGCAACTCGTAAATGATAAAATTAAATTGTTTTACAGCTCAAGCGAGCGAGACATTATTTTTTTCATGTTTTTACATTTTGTAAACTTTGTATGTAAAAAAAAAATCAAAGTGACCTATTATAACATAGTAATGAAGCTCCGCTTCTCACAGAAAAATAAATCACGTTTTGCCACAAAATTTAAATTCCAATTAATCTCAGATAAAACATGGACGTTGACGTCTACAAATTTTGCAGAACTGATTCGGGAGTTAAAAACTCAGTGCTTCCTTAGGATTAGATATGTTATCTATCTATTCACCAACCATGAACGTAGTGAATTGTCAAGGCAGTGGAAGCATAAGTATCATGAACAAATTATTTTTTAGCTATAGAGGCACTCATTTCATGAGTGTCTCTATATCCCGACATATATAATGATAAATTCACTTTTATAGTTTCGTGTTTCATTAAGCCTGTGCATCTTTGGTTTTACTAAAGGCTTCGCTAAAAGTAATTGTAATTCATAGTCAACGATAATCAAAATTAAAATCAGTCATGACACTATTGAAAATGAAAATAAAATACTAATAATTCGTACGACTAATTTATTTATCAAAGAGAATACTAAAAGAATCGAGTTTATTCTGTCGTTAAAGGAAATCGACCAAGTATTTTTAGGAATAATTCGTAAATTTGAGTGTGGAAATAAATCTCTTTGGCATATAATTAATTCGATTAGGAATCATAAAAATGCTTTTCTTAAGAATAGTCGATGTTTCTTGACAACAATTGTTTGATTGCACTCATCAAAAATTCATATATCTTCAATTATACTAAAAAATTCAATATAAAATTCAGGGCAATTTTATTAACAATTAATATTAATAGAATAAATATTTCCTAAAAAAATTTTTTAACATTTTTTTTTTTTTTTTTAGAAATAATAATAATGAATCTTATGTGATACTCTAAGCCTTAACCTTCTTTGCAATGCCAGTGTGAGTAGCTTTAGCAACACGACCAAACTCCAAACTGTTTTCAGTTTCTGCTTGTGATGATCTTATTGGAGAAATATTAACTAACATCAATACCTTGGCATTTCCACCTATAATTAATAATTAATTAATAAATAAAGTAAATAAAAAACTATATATAATAATAAGACTATATATTATTTGCCTAATGAATTTTTCAAAACATATGTTAAAGCTGAATCACGATAATTGATATGATTTCCATCCTTGATATTTTTTATAACGGTTTTCAAACTACTTAAACTTTTATTAATTTGTATTGTTTCAGTTTGAAGATCCCCCGCTGAAGATCCAAATGTTGATATTTTCTCAGAGCCTGCTAAATCAATAAGGTTCAATGAACCCAATCTTTTTTCTTTTGTATTTGAATTTGTGCCTGTAATATGAATCATAAATATGCTATGACTTCTTGAAGATTTATCATTCATTTTTGTAGAAGCAATTGATCGATTCTTTGTCGCTGATTTAAGCACTTGATTGACAAGATTTGGTGACTCAAGATTTACTATATATAAAAGAAAATGTGATTTTTATTTTTTTAAAAATAATTTCATAATCGTGATCATAATTTTCAACAGAAAAAAAAAATTATAATATCTATACATATATAATTCACCTGTTTTGACATTAGTAATTCTAGTTGAACCTTTCTCAGTGTCATGTGTAATTTTGACATTTCCACGTGACATTTGAAGTAAATCATAAACTTGATCATTATATATTTCGATAAATTGGCCTTCGATTGTATAAGTCCAACCCTGAACTTTCAAACCATTAACAAGATTAAAGACATGTCTAAATGCCCTGGTGATCATCCCTTCTGTTTTAGGAGAAGCATCTGAACCTTGCATTGTATAAGTTTTTCCTGCACCAGTTTGTCCATAAGCAAATATACAACAATTATATCCATCAACCACTGATTGAACTACATGTGCAAGCTCATTATATACTTGTTCTTGAGTACTTTCAGGTCTGAAAACATGATCAAATTCATATTCCTTGATGATATTTCTATTTATACTACGATAATTTTTTATAATTGAACAAATCACAATTTTTTTATTTCCACTATTATTTGGATATATGATTTCAGCAAGTGGTTCATCTATTTCTGTGAATGTTTGTGGACGGACTCTACAAAATACTCGAATATT